GTCGAATTGTCTTGTGTTGAATTCTGATTTAACTTAATTTTAAATTCTGTTTGGTGCTGCTCACACAACAAAATATTTTCTGTTTCATTTTTATAAACTTTTTTTGTTTCAAAGAATTTCCTAACGGATTCAATATTTAGCCCTATTAGGGTTTCACCAATACGACAAGCCCTAATTCCACACATTAACTGCTTAGTTTTTTGCCAAGGGCTGAACATTGGTTCATGCACTGGCGTATAACCTAATTAATAATAATAAAAAAAAAGATTAGTAAACTTACATAAATTAAATATAATTTTATAACTTAACTTAATAACTAAAAAATTAAATAAACACTCACCCAACATTTGGGTCGGAACCTTAATATAAGGTTTTCCAACCATTTAGATTTGTTTCCCTCCCTCGGGAAAGAAAAGGCATTTATATGCCCCGCACAAAAAAAAATAAATAAATAAATACAAAAAATAAATAAAAAAATAATTATATAAGTAATTAAAAAATAATAATAAGAACTAAATTCTTTTTGTATTCTTCAAATTTTTTTTCTATTATTGAATTCGCGCGCATTGAAATGCAAACACGAAGACAAAAACTGACAACAAGCGTCACACACATACATACAAACAAAACAAAGCACTTATTTTTCTTCACCCTACTTACGTATTTTCCATTTTCCAGGTTTCTTCAGTAATTTTTTTGCCTTGAAAATGGCTTGGTATTATAGTAAGCTAAATAAAGAAATTGAAATTAATAAACTATATCAAATTATATATTAAAATACTATTTTTTTATACTTATCTTCTTTCTCAACTCGCTGCAACACACACATTCCACATGGGACTGAATTTAACGTCCACATTCCACATGGGCCTGAATTCAACGTCCACATTTCAGATTTGTCTCAATTTAATTCCATATGAAAGTAAAATTGTAAATTTTCTACGGATTAACTATAATATTAAGCTTGCAAAAATAAAATTTGTGTGACCAAAACAAATTTGTATAAAATTTTATTAAATTGTAAACATTTCAATAATACAAATGAAGTTAGCTTATCAGTGATATATTTTAAAAAAATACAAATATTTACATTTATTTAGATATACATTTTTACATTTTTATAGACTTAATTAAAATTATTTAAGACGAATCACGTGAAATATATACATGATTGTATATTCAGATATATTTTTTCATTTTATTTGCATAATTGTTTACAATTATAATTACATTAAAAACCAACATAAAACATACGTAAGATATTAAAAATTGTATAAAAATATTTCAAAATAATAAGTATTTAATCATTGTCTTTATTAATTAGTTAATTAAGCAATACATTTTAAAGGGACTTTTTTAATATTCTTTAAAAAAAGTCGGATTTTGCTTAATGGCAAAGCAGAATTCTACATTTATTTTTCACTCAATGGCTTTACAGACACGTTAACTAACCCAAAAATGAGGGGAAGGGAATAACATGCTAAACATTAGAGAAAACACAACTTTGTTATCGATATAACATGAGTGAAAGAGATTTGTGTTGAGAGCACGTTGTTGTATCATAGAGTAAGAAACTATATAGAGGTTTCATTTGCTCTGCCCGGGCCTCTGCCAAAGCTCTGCTTGGAGTTATGTTAGAAGCTAACTTTTTCTAACTTCGGTTTCTCACCACTTCTAACATGTGCGAAGCACAAGCAATAGTATGGAGAGTTCTGGCACCTATCCTTAGGAATAAGAGCGAGCAGTGCAGCAATAAGAATTCACCATGGGCATCGATTCAAGCTCGATTCGAACAAATGAAAAACTATTTTTTTCCGTTTTTCCCCTACGTGGCATCACTGGCAAAGTCACTCGAGAGCGCGGGCAGAGCAAATTAAACCTCGATGCCCATGGTGAATTCTTATTGCTGCACTGCTCGCTCTTATTCCTAAGGATAGGTGCGAGAACTCCCCATACTATCGCTTATCCCTTTGTTAAGCGCTTTAACCTGAAAGGGAAACCATAGTCCTCCACAATTTGTACATATTTTACTAGGACCCATCTTTATATTATTTAAATAGGTATCACGTGCTCCAGATCGTCTAATTTGTCCTTGTAGCTCTCTTTGTTTAATCTGTTCTTCGGAAGACAATCTAGCTCTCGCATCAATATTTCGCTGGGATTGTCTTTGAGACTCCGCTGCACGATTTTGTGAATTACTTCTATAGTTTATAACTCGAGCCTCATTCATTTGCCTGACCTGCTCTACCATTATGCGGGTTTGCTGTCGGGTCATTCTTCTTTGCGATGAATTTATCCTTTGCTGCTGGCTTCTCCTTGCATGATCACTCCTTGCCGTCCGATGGTATTCTGCATCTCGCTGACGGTAGTCATTTCTATAACAGGGACTTTGCCTTGCTCCCTGGTATTTCTCTCCTGTTCCATTATTCTATAATTCTCGAAAGAGCGCATCAGAGCGTGACGCGCAGCATCCTCTTCGCGTTCAGACTCTCTATAAGTCTGATCTTCCCTTCTTATGGCATGCTCCCTAGTATTTCTTTCCTGAGCCAATAACCTATATTCTTCCGAAGAACGCATTAAAGCGTGGCGCGCAGCATCAGTTTCGCGCTCGGACTCTCTATGGGTGGGGCTTTCTCTTTAAATGGCATGATCCACGGTATTCCGATTCTGCTCTCGAATTGCGAACCTACGATTTCGTCTGCATAAGGAATGAGCCTGTCCATCTTGCGAGCGTTCTTCTTCTCTGCCTTGCGCATCCGCTTCCCGAGCTTCTGCCAATCGTTGGGAATTTCGGGAACATACTTCATTTAAATTATCTCAATAAAAAGACTGACTTCGATTATTAATAGCGCGACGTCTTTGTTCCGCGGACGTGTTTCTTAGCCGCGGCATTTTGATAAAAATTCGTCCGAAATGTTTCTCAAATTTAAGATTTAGATTTTAAATATTAAAATTAGATAGATATATTATATAAATTCATATATATATATGATTATATATACGATATAGAAACTTATAAATATTACTGAAAAAAATGTGTAAAACTAATCTACAAGAAATATTAGGTTATGTCTACAAATGCAAATATTAAGCTAGATCACCTATCTTTTGAAGATGAAGAAGTTGATAAATCCAGATCCAATGCGGTTTCCAATGAAGTCTTGAAAAAGACTGACGAAAGCTTTAAATTGATTTTTTTCACACAAACACTTCACCACAAAACTAAACTCCAAGAAAAAGCTAAAATACGAGTATCGCAGCCCAATACCCCAACGTTTTTGTGAGAATCGAGGAGAACAGCACCTGCATCAACAAAAGTTCGATTAACATGGCCAAAAATCAGACAATTCCTTCAGGTTTAAAATACATGGCGCATACATAAAGCTTTTATGAGAATCGAGGAGGACAGCGCTGATAGAATCAAAACAAAATGTAAGAATGAGACAATTCCATCAGGTTTAAATAAAGCCTTTAAACGTATATATTAAAACCTTAAAAAATATATTACGATTGGAGCGAATCGAAAATTTTTTGGAATGTAGAATTTACAAATAAAACAACAGTGAGCGCTTTTTAAGCAGTTTTACTCTCTCTTTAAAAATGTGGTTGCCAGAGGTTGCTCCGATTTTTTATGACATTATGAGCAATTAGTTTGAAGAAAATATTTGAGTGTTAATAATCAAAATAAGATCTCAAGCGCTAGACTGACCTTTGCTTAGTTAACGCTTGTGGGCAATACAGTGGGCGTGGCACATTTGCATAACAATCTAAACTAGCTCCTGTAGGAAGCAAAGCTCGAGTAAAGAAAAAACTTGGCCAATCTATATATGTCCTAGAAGACATGAACGGTAAAGAGCTTGGTAATTTCCATACCAAGGATATTGGGTAATTTACACTGACACCTTTTTCAGTTTTGATTGTTAAGCCTAGTATCCAGATCGAAGAAAACCGTACGCCAGTCATGAGAGAGAGCGAGAGGCAAACAGCTGGCGTTCACTTTTCGTCGGGCCTTTTTTTCACGTCGGTCCCCTGATCGACGAAAAAAATACCAGAAAATTCTATAGCGTTGCCAGTCTGCGGAAATGAACTTTGGGTGAACCCTAGCGAAAAGATTAAAAAATTTAAAGCCTAGTATCCACTTCGACGTAAACCGTACGCCAGTCATGAGAGAGAGCGAGAGGCAAATAGCTGGCGTTCACTTTTCGTCGGGCCTTTTTTTCACGTCGGTCTCCTGATCGACGAAAAAAATACCAGAAAATTCCATAGCGTTGCCAGTCTGCGGAAAATAACTTTGGGTGAACCCTAGCGGAAAAGATTAAAAAATTTAATCTTTTGGCGTGCGCTTCTCAGTGAACATTATAAGAAATGGAGGGAAAAACTCAAAAAACTCACAAAAGTCGATTGCAGGTGTTTACATGTGATTACAAAATAACATTAATACTATCTGGGGTGCCTCTTGTCAGAGCAAAATGTTTTTTAGGTCCAGAATGTACATTTAACACAACAAAACTGCAGCTATGAACTTTTAATTAGCAAATAATTATCAGTAAATTAAAAAAAACAACTGTTAAATTTAAATTGTATTGTTTTTTAATTTCTTTGTACACCGGCAGACTTGTCTTGCCAAGGTATTTGATAATATCTTTTAAAGGCTCTTTCCCGCAAATGCGATATTTGAATTTTAACTGCTTGTCAACAAACCCAGCTGATTGACAGTACGACCGTAGCAGCTGGGTTTGTTGACAAACAAAAAAGCAAACAAAGTTAAATGAAACGAAAATGTCGAGTTCAAAAAACACAAGCTTGATTTTGGTTGTCAGCATGGCGGCATGTATTGTGGCATTAGAGGATGAGGAGAAAAGACAGCGGCCGAAATATTGGGTGAGCCCATATCTGCAGGAAAGGGCCCTTAAAGGCCGATATGCTGTTCAATAATGTATTAATATTCGTGCACTAAAAAATATTTTCTTATCATTTTAAAGTTTCAAAACTTGTTGCAGACTCCCTCAATGTTTTTCGAAAACTTTCACATGCCTCAGAAGAGTTTTAACACTATTTTTGGAATGGTGGAGCAGTACCTTATACCGAAACGGAACACTCGCCCAGATGCTATACCAATAAAAGCCAAGTTGGCCATCGTTTTAGAGTAATTAGATTTTAAATATTTAGTCTTAGATAACAATATATTTATATTTTGTATCCTTTTATTTAGATTTCTTGCCTCTGGAGACCTGCAACGCCACATTGGATCAACTTATCGGATCAGTAAGCAACATTTTGGAGTGATTCTCCTCCAGGTGCCTATTGCCATTTGGACTGCTTTGCGGGATGAATTCCCCAAGTGGACGACGGGGAATATGCTGATGTGGGTTAAAGACTTCGAAGACGAATGGAACTTTCCTAATTGTATTGGAGCAGTCGACGGAAAGCATGTGGCGATAAAAGGCCCGCCAAATAGCGGAAGCCTTTTTTACAATTATAAGGTAAGTACTTTTTAAATGCCAATAGAATTTAATAACAAAATCGTTTGTAATGAAGGGCTTTCATTCGATTGTGCTTATGGCAATCTGCAACGCTCACTATCGCTTCACCTACATTGATGTGGGGGCTTTTGGTAGCGAAGGAGACATGAATGCCTTCTCCCACAGCGCTCTTGGCAAACAGTTGCTCTTAGACCAGCTGCCCTTTCCGGAGGACAATGTTATAAACGGCCATCGAACCCCTTATTACATTGTTGGTAATGATGCATTCCCCCTTCATAAGCGCATCATGAAGCCGTATAGTGGCAAGGATCTGCATAGGGAGGAGCGGATTTTTAACTACAGGCTAAGTCGGGCTCGTCGTTGCATTGAGAACGCATTTGGGATTCTCAGCGCTAGGTGGATGGCTGTACAACGAACTTTGTTAAGCAATCCATGCAAAGCTCAAAAAATCATTGTAGCCTGTTGTGCCTTGCATAATTTTTTGATGCGGGAGAGTCCAGCAACTTACTCGATGCAGGAGATACCAAGCACTGTCCTGACCGACTTGCGGCCCTGCCGACGAGGTCGCCCACAAGACTTCAGTAAGGAGGTTCGAAACAACCTTATAGAATATTTAAACGGAAGTGCTGGAAGTGTACCTTGGCAAGACGAGTCTGCCGGTGTGCAAAGAAATTAAAAAAAAAATAAAAGTTATTTTGCAATGTTAAATATTTTTTATTTTTATTTTAACTGGCGTCTTTCTCCTCCCACAGAAGCCGGGTCATCTTCCTTTCCACTTCGGCAGCACGTTCCGGAGGAAGCGTGCTAAGAATCGATTCCCAGTAGGCAAACACCGGCCTTGGAGGAGTGGGAAGGGGAGCCTTTTGTTGCTGCTCCAGAAAGTTGCCCAGCATGTCGCACATTTTGGCTGCTGGTGTTTCCTCCACCTTTCGCTTCTTGGCGCTCCTTCTTCCTCCACCCTTTGAAAGTATAGAAATATTTCATAAGAAATTATATTATTTAATAGAAATTGGGCAACTTACATAGGAATACAGTTCCTTTTGGGCCTCAGTCAGCTCGACCTCCAGCTCCGCCTCCGCTTCCAAAAAGCCAGCTTCAACAGGGTCTTGAGTTTCCTCAATGGAGTAGTCCATTGCTTGTGCTCCGTCGCTCTCAGAAAACACAGAATGGGTTGTTCTGTTAAAAATAAATTATATTAGTATAATGTAAAAAAATTTTTGGCCAGAACCTACTGCCTCTGCGTGGATAAGTCCGGCAGGAAGCTCATGTAGGGGGCGAAATCCCACTCCGCAGCACCTGTTGGCTTCTCCAATGGGTCTCCTCCAGCACTTCCACTCTTTGGCTGCTTGCACTTGTGGTACTTGTAGCTGTCCCGTAGAGACTTCCACGCCAGCTTGCAACTATTATCTAAACATAAATATTGTGTATGTCCACGTTAACAAATATTTAATAATGTACAATTGTAACTTACCATCTTTGTCCATTTCCCAGGCTATTTCCTCCCACGATCTTTTTATAAATGTTGCATTAAAATGCTTTTTATTGGAGAGATCCCACAATTCTGGGCGCGACTCCACGTATCGAATTAATGCTTTTTTTTCTTCACTGCTGAACAACAACAACCGACTTTTACGAGTTTTCTGATGTTTTCCCTCCATTTTTTTAAATTTCTGATGAGAAGCGCACGCCGAAAGATTAAATTTTTTATTCTTTTTGCTAGGGTTCACCCAAAGTTCATTTCAGGTGGTTGGCAACGCGATGCAATTTTCTGGTATTTTTTTCGTCGAACTGGAGACCTAAGTCAAAAAAAAGCTTCACGAAAAGTGAACGCCAGCTGTTTGCCTCTCGCTCTCTCTCATGACTGGCGTTCGGTTTTCGTCGATCAGGATACTAGGCTTTAATCTTTTGGCGTGCGCTTCTCACTGAACATTATAAGAAATGGAGGGAAAAACTAAAAAAGCTCGCAAAAGTCGATTGCAGGAGTTTACAATTGAGGACAAAATGGCATTAATACTATCTAGGGTGCCTCTTGTCAGAGCAAAATGTTTCTTAGGTCAAAAATGTACGAAAAAACACAATAAAAGTGCGGCTATAAACTTCAAATTAGCAAATAATTATCAGTAAATTAAAAAAAAAACAACTGTTAAATTTAAATTGGTATTGTTTTTTTATTTTTTTGTACAGCGCAGTTTTGTCTTGCCAAGGTAGTTGATAATATATTTTAAAGGCGCTTTCCCGCAAATACGATATTTGAATTTTAACTGCTTGTCAACAAGTCCAGCTGACTGACAGTACGACCGTAGCACGCTTAATTCTGATGAACTCTCGAAATTTTGGTCACACTGGAAAGATTAAAGTTTTTACGCTAGCATACTCGTTTGTCGATCTGGGTACTAGGCTTTAGTCGCAGGGACCAAAAATCAAAACGGTGGCAGTGGGAGCCAGTGAAATTTTAAAACTCATTTTGGTACTCTAAGCAAATATTACCAGTCTGACAACGTGAAGATCAGATCTTGACAAAAATACCAGATTAACAACAGAAATACCAGAACGAAAATCCCGCCTATGGATTTTGGACGTACTAAGTACACTTCATTAGCGCTGTTTCCGGCTGCATCTTTCTCTTTTCTGGAAACTTTTCCCGAAGGCAGTCGTTCGCTCTTGAAAAACGTGCTAACCCTTTTTTAAAAGTAATTAGTATTTTTATAAGTGAATAGTGTCATATTTTTTGGTAAGCTTATTAGGACCCAAAGTCGGCCAATTTTAATTGCGTTTTCCTAGGAATTAGTCTGGTGTCTTCGTCGTGGTTCCCAAGACATACATAGTTGGAACACGAGGATATCTTTTCCAAGGCCCGGCTTTAAGCACGGCTATCGGCCAGGCGCCCGCTTGCAATTCCTGATCAACTGAACTTCGGCGTGCGCATCGAACGCATTTCTTGGAACAGCGTGTCGCACCTCGTATTGCCACGCTGTTGGATCAGGCGAAAACAGTCGCCGTCCACTGCAGAAAGTGTATTTTCTACCTTTGGAAATCTTTTGGAAACTTTCTCGTGGCACATTCTTCCCCGGATCTATCGAGAAGCTGCAGGCCACATTTCATCCCCACCAAGAGTAGTGGTTGTGTGCACCAAGCGTGCTTGAGCGTTGCGACACGTTCAAGCCTGTCCAGTTTCGCACCTCAATTGGAGAACATTAACAGCATGTTCAAGCGTGCTCATTTGCGGTAATAGTTCTGAGTATCGTAGATTTAGTTACATTTTCTTTTGTATTTCGTTAAGAATATTTTACTCATTAACTTTACGACTCCTATTATAGTGTAAAACTTTGTGAGCAGTTCTGACATAACATTTATTCACATTTATAAAGTCTACAGCAACGCTTCAACAGTCATCAGGCCTGAGGACAACGTTGGATCCTGCTTAAGTACGGCATAGACGTCAACATTCCTATTCTCTTGTGAGTCTGCACACTCCTTTTTATACCCTTGCAGAGGGTATTATAATTTTGGTCAAAAGTGTGCAACGCAGTGAAGGAGACATCTCCGACTAGGGGTGCAGATACATCGAGTGAAACATCGATAACATCGATGTTTTCAAAACATCGAAACCATCGATGGTTCGTGACCACCATCGATGTTGACACTTGCGACCCCTTAAAGTATTGGGAGGTATGAATTTCAAATAATTATGTCAAACATGTTAAATAAGAAATATTTTTTACAGATGACAGATGACAACGAATTAAAATTGGTTGCAAAAAAATATTTCTGTGTACAAGCTTCGTCCTGTGAGTCTGAAAGGGTGTTCAGCAAAGCTGGACAAACTGTATCTGATCACAGAACAAGGCTTAAACCTGATGTTGCTGATCAACTTCTTTTCCTCAACAAAAATAGACACTTTAAATAATCTCAAATAAACCTCATTGTTATCGTTTGTACTGTTTTGCCTTTTATTTTTTTTTTTTTAAACATCGATGTTTCACTCGATGTTTTTTTTGAAAACATCGAAAACATCGATGGGTACGAACATCGATGTTTCTGCACCCCTATCTCCGACCCTATAAAGTATATATATTCTTGATCAGGATCCTGAGTTGATATAGCCATGTCCGTCTGTCCGTCTGTCTGTTTCTATGCAAACTAGTCTCTCAAATTTCATAAGGATCGGCCGACTATATCCTATAGCTGCCATATAACAGATTGATCGGAAATGCCATAACTTTGATGTTTGTAAAGTTAGGAGGCTGGGATTTCCTATGGGTTTTATATTTGGCCAATCAATCCGACCTACCAAATTTCATAAGGATCGGCCGACTATATCCTATAGCTGCGATATAACTGATTGATCGGAAATGCCATAACTTTGATCTTTGTAAAGTTAGGAGGCTGGGACTTCCTATGGGTTTTATATTTGGCCAATCAATCCGACCAATTCAAAAAGATTGGCCGACTATATCCATAGCTACCATATAACTGATTGATCGGAAATTAGGGTTGTCAAAAATTTTAAAAATATCGTATCGGTGATATTTTTTTTATCAAAAAAAAAAATGATAATATTTAAAATATCACATAAAAATGTCGATATATTTGATAAATTTGATATTTTTTGTGTTAAATGAAAAAATTGACCGCCCACAATAAAAAGACAATAAGTTTCTTTTTAAAAAGAATAGTATTTTATTATACATATTTTATGACCAGTATGCAGGGTTTAGGGATTTTAATAACACCCTTTGCGTTATGTGTGCGTCAGTCATCCTGCTTCTTGGGTCGCACACAACACATTTGATGGCCGACGCCGTTTTTTATATCCGTATAGTTTGATTTTACACTCAATTTTTTATTTCGCGCCTGAATTCTTTTAGTCGATGTCGCTTTGGAATTCAGAGTGACCAAAGACAAAAATATCAAAAAAAATAGCGGAATTCCGATATTTGGGCAAATTAAAAATCACGATATAAATATATAATTTTTAGGAAAAAATATCGATATATTGATTTTCTATGAGTTTTATTTTTGGGCAATCAATCCGACCTATCAAATTTCATAAGGATCGGCCGACTATATCCTATAGCTGCCATATAACTGAACGATTGGAAATGTCATAACTTTGGTGTTTTTAAAGTTACGAAGTTGGGATTTTTTATGAGTATTAGGAATGCATCATATGAATAATTTTGGAGAATATAATTTACCGAGAATTATGCAAGGGTATATCAACTTCGGCTCCGCCCGAAGTTAGCTGTCCTTTCTTGTTATACTTTATTTTATATTATATATATATACAGTGGCTCACAGCTTAAAGTATACACGTCAAACCCCTAACTTCAAACTTCCATAGTGTTAAAACTATAAGGCGTACTGCAACAAATGTGGTGTCAAATTAAAGATGATATTGTTTAGATTAAATTAGTCTCTTCATTTATTATCTACTTTTTCATTTTATAGCCAAAACATAACAAAATAATAAAATACTGCTTATTTCTACCTCACAGCTTATTTTATGCAGCACCAAAAATATAAAAATATTTGGAAAGTATTTATTTTTGTTTGTTTTTTTAGTATTTAGTGTGGTAGCCTTTAGTGTCTATTACCGCTTGAAGCCTTTTTGGCATCGAATCCACTAATTTTTTTGTCAGATCGGCTGATATAATGCTCCTCTCTTTGAAAAGA